TTGCAGCCCTCGCCCTGTAAAGGCGCGTGACATAATGTGAAGCCTGCGGAGCGGCGGGTTTACCCAGGGGGGCTGGGTGCCGGGAGACACTCTAGTGCGGGTCCCAGTCTGGGGCTCTCCGGCACCAACACGTGACGCTGGGAGCAGAGCAGGGTGGGTGAGGCAGGCGGAGGCCCACAGGTGAGCTGAGGAGGAAGAAAGCACACTAGGGACGGTCCGGTTCAGGCCCTCAGCCTTCCAGAGTGGGGGGGGGGCCCTTGGGGCCCTCAGCCCCAAGAGATGAGGGGGACCCTGAGAAGAGGTTCTCTAAGGTTCTAACACTACAGTTTAGCGTTTTATGAGTCAGTCATTGAACAGACCTTCAGTAAGTTTTCTTAGAAAAGCATTATTCAGTGGAAGAATCAAATAGGCCTTTCACAAAAGAAGGCATTGAGATACTCAGATGCCATTAAAACCGCAACAGGATACACAATAGTTAAGCAAAAATTCAAAACTCTGAGATCGTTTAATGTCAGCCTATGCACACATGGTGGCAGTATAAACCAGCAGAACCACTTCTGGAAACAATTTAGAGCTGAAAACGGTCCTGTGACCCAGAGTTCACTCCTACACGTACAAACCTTAGAGAAGTTCACGCAAATATTTCTGCCTAGAGGAAGTGTGCAAGACCATCCGTCCTAGTATTGTTTACAATGCACACACATGCCAGGCGACAGCGTGAAACAGATGGATTGTGGTGTATTCACCCAGTGGGATGTCAGACAGGGAAAAAGCCAGGACCCGCCACCTAACGGCTGTGCCTCAATCCCTGTGAAGTCCCGCCACGGGGATGTTGGCTTCCCGTCTTCACACCCTGTGCTGGCATCTGCTTCTGGGGTCAGCCAGGCCATACAGTGGCGACCTGCGTGTCTGGGAGCCACCCGATGGGCACTCCAGGGAGCCGGGGCTGCTGCTCAGACAGGAGCCCGATGGCCTGGCAAGCTCTCGTGCCTCCGGGAACCTGGACTTGCCGGAAGGGCCAACAGGGCAGGGCGGCCCCTGAGGCCGAGTGTGACAGGAGACAGCCCGGGTAGAGGGCCCTCCCCAGGCGGGCAGCACGGGGCCTCCCAGTTACTTCCGGTCTGCTGGCAGGCTGCCCCTCGTGCCTTCGAAGTACTCGATGACGGCGATGATATTCATCATGATGCTGAGCTTCTACTATTTCTCCCGCCACGTGAGTGCCTGCGCCCCGCCATGCCGCCCAGGGGCTCGGAGACGGTGCGGGTCTGCGGGCCCGGGCTCCCTCCCTGGGCCACTCACTGCCTTCTCGGGAAGGGAAACCTGCTTTTCCCTGAAGGCAGTGTGGATGCTGCGGGCAGAGAGCCGGCAAGAGAGCCGTTTTCAGGGTTATAAAGGGAGCAGGCGAGTCCACGCTGGCCTGGGCGCCACCCGGTGGCGTGCCCGGGGAAGCACAGCCTTTGGCCACCTCCCAGCCGAAGGAAGGGAGCTTCGGGGCTCCCTGTCTGGACCCCAGACTTGCGCTAGAACAAGGCTCCTCTGGGCTGTAGTCCCCGAGGCTGGCTCCTCACTTGCTGCGGGCTGCAGATCCCCAGGGTTCCTTTGTCACTTATATGCCTTTTGCAGGCAGAAACCCTCACTGAGGTCCCATCCTCCGCCTTCCCTTGAACTGCCAGCTTCGGCACACACCTTGCCTGTGCCCGATTCTGCAGGTGGAAAAACTGGCCCGGACTCTGTTCTTGTGGAAGATCGAGGTCCATGACCAGAAGGAACGTGTGTACGAGATGCGGCGCTGGAACGAGGCCCTGGTCACCAACATGCTGCCCGAGCACGTGGCACGGCATTTCCTTGGGTCCAAGAAGAGAGATGAGGTGAGGGGGCCCTGCAGGCTGGGCCGGGGCAGCATTAGCAGCAGAAGGCAGGTCCCTGGGCCGCCTGCGGGGGACAGCTCCACACCTGCTCACCAGCCACCCAGGCCCTCACAGAGGACGTTCTGGTCCCTGTCCTGGAGCAGGCGGGGCTGCCAAGCCCCGAGCCCCCCTCAAGGCTGGGCTGGTGGCAGAGCTCGGGGAGCTGTTCTCTACCTGTGCACAGTCGGGGTGATCGGGCAGGGTCTGGGGCCTGCGGAGAGCACACGGGCCTGCGTGTCCCCAGGAGCTGTACAGCCAGTCCTATGACGAGATCGGCGTCATGTTCGCCTCTCTGCCCAACTTCGCCGACTTCTACACCGAGGAGAGCATTAACAACGGCGGGATCGAGTGTCTGCGCTTCCTCAACGAGATCATCTCTGACTTCGACTCGGTGAGTGCTGCCTGCCCCTCCTGCCACAGGTCACTGGTCCTGGTCACCGCTCAGGACAGAAGTCAGGAGGAGGCAGTGACTGTCACCCTGGTGCTTCTGCAGCCACGCAGAGCTGCCCGCCCGGGTGTGGGCCCTGGGAACCACGGGACAAGGCTGACTGCAAGGCCCGCGGGTGACCCAAGACCGGGCTTCCCCGGCTCTGACGCGCGGCCAGTGGACACTTGCCGAGTGCTCTGTACGCCGGCCGGGGGAGACGCTCCCCCATACGCGCTCGGTTCCCGGACAGCTGCCCGTGTCCAGGCCGCGGCAGCTGAGCCTTGGGCGAGGCAGGACCGTGTGGCCGGCGGGTGTAAACAGCGCGCTTCTGAGACCGCGTCTCTCGGAGGCTTTTGGGGTCCTCCCGAGTCTCCTCAGCCCTGCTCACAACCCTCTTTGCTTCACCCTGGCCCCAGCTCCTGGACAACCCCAAATTCCGGGTCATCACCAAGATCAAAACCATCGGCAGCACCTACATGGCCGCTTCAGGAGTCACCCCGGACGTGAACACCAATGGCTTCACCAGCTCCAGCAAGGTGCGGGCGGGAGGAGCCAGCGTCCTCCTGGGGCGAGGGACAGGACAGCAGGTGGGGATAAGAAATGGCGTGAGGGAGGGAGAAGTTACCTCGAGCAGAGGGCTCCGGGACACTCAGCTCCCTGGGGAAGGCGGGGACTGAGCTGTGGGGCTTGCAGCCCGGCACTGTGCGTCCCCTTGCTCCACCTTGACACTTGTCCCTGTGACAGGGCTTGACACCGGGCCCCACGGCTCACTTCCCATTCGGGGTGAGGGCGACAGAACACTCAAGGGCCTGTGACATGGAAACCTACAAAGGCCTGAGGCCCAGGTCACACTGGGCAGGAGCCTGGCCCTGTGGTCAGTGCTCGGCCACACCGCGGGCAGCAGCTGGCTGGACCGGCCGCCCGGCCTGCCTGCCACAGGCAGCTGGGGGCTCTCCCTCCCGCACTGCCGGCCCTGGGCAGCTGGGGGCTCTCCCTCGGCTGGGGCACGGGCGGCAGGGGCGCCCGGGTGCTGCTGCAGGACAGCAGCAGCAGGAGGGGCGGCTGGGCAGCGCTGACGCTCTGACCCGCCCGCACAGGAGGAGAAGTCCGACCGGGAGCGCTGGCAGCACCTGGCCGACCTGGCCGACTTCGCGCTCGCCATGAAGGACACGCTTACGAACATCAACAACCAGTCCTTCAACAACTTCATGCTGCGCATAGGTGAGCGGGCCAGGCCGGGTGCCCGCTGGTGCCCAGGCCGGCAGCAAAGACCAGGGCACCGCAGATGGGGCACCCGGGTGGGAGAGGCGGGTAGTGACAGCCCGCCTTCCTGCGTCCCTGCTGCTTCCTGCTGGGGGTGGGGGCAGGCGCCTTCAAGGTGAGGCTGTGGGCACCTGGGTACAGGTGTGGGGTGTCGGGGAAGCTGACGGCGCCGCCCTGAGTGAAGTAAGCAGCCTCCCAGGACGGCTGCCGTCTGTGAGGACCCGGTGGGGACAGGCGCGCAGACGTGGCCTCCTCCTGGTAGCCGAGAGCCAGCTCTGCGGTGCCCTCCCGGGGTCACGCAGGTGGCTGTGCTGAGCTCCCTGCCCCCCACCCAGGCATGAACAAAGGAGGGGTTCTGGCTGGGGTCATTGGAGCCCGCAAACCGCACTACGACATCTGGGGCAACACAGTCAACGTGGCCAGCAGAATGGAGTCCACGGGGGTGATGGGCAACATCCAGGTATGTCCAGTGACAGGCCACCTGTGCTCAGGTGCAGGCGGGGATGAGGACAGGCAGGCAGCCGCGTGCGCTGGCCACAGCACGGTGACCTGTGAGGGGACTTTGGACAGTCCGTCACCAGGGCTTCCTGGGGCGACCCCAGGCTCCATCCGAGGGGCCTGCCGGGAAGCTGCGCGGAGTGGACCTGGGCAGTGGACGGCTCCCCCCTGGTCACTTGGGCCCTCACTGAGCTCCTCCCCGCAGGTGGTGGAGGAGACGCAGGCCATCCTGCGGGAGTACGGCTTCCGCTTCGTGCGGCGCGGGCCCATCTTCGTGAAGGGCAAGGGCGAGCTGCTGACCTTCTTCCTGAAGGGGCGCGACCGGCCGCCGGCCTTCCCCAACGGCTCCTCCATCACACTGCCCCACCAGGTGGTGGACAGCTCCTGAGCCGCGCTGGCCACCGTGGCCGCTGGCAGGGACGGTGGAGTTTGTGGACCCCAGAAAAGGCAGGGGGGCGGGGGCCAGGCCGATGCTCTCCACGGGCACGCCGCAGGCTCCAGGGGACGGAAGAGCCCCGGCCCCCTGCGGAAGTCCTGGGCGCGGTGCCCAGCGGGTGCCCGCCCACGGCAAGGCCACAGCCACCAGGCACAGGAGCGGGCTGCGGCAGGGCAGGTGCCAGGCTCCCTGCGTGGTCCCCTGCGTGCCCCGGACAGCGGAAGGGCCCTGGCCCTGGTCCTGGTAATCTTGAAAGGTTCTCCGGAACCCTGTCACCTTAGTACGAAAGCAGAAAGTGCAATATTTCCTTTCACCTGGCGGGGAGGGGGGTCATTTCTGAAAGAAAATTATATAAACAGATCTACATTTATATTTTTAACCTGTTCAAAACACTTTCCAATATTGCCTTGCCTTCTGAGCTCTTGCTACAGTCGCCTTTGCTACTGCTTTCAAAGAGAATTTACAGGTATCGACAAAGAACAAGACTGTTTTATTAAAAGCTTTACTCAACTTCAGTGGGAGACTGCAATTCTGTGGGAGAACTCGGCACAGCTAGGTGGCCCACCGCCCAGTACCCACCCAGGTACCCGGGGCCCTGCCATGCGGGGCCTCGTGAGCGGGGCCTGACCCAGAGTGCTCATGTCCCAGTGAAGCCTGAGGCCAGCGCTGGGCTGGGGCAGCCGTTGTGGGGAGGACGGGACCCGCCAGTTTCCCCAGCTGTCTGGAACTGGCAGCACTGCAGGCTCAGAAGGCGGGTGACGGTTCAGGGGTTCAGGGCCGCGGCGGGCGGGTGCAGAGGGACCGGGACCCGGAGTGGGGCTGCTTCCTTCTCAACAGTGAGGTTACGGGCAGGTTCTAACTGCGCATTCTCAGAGTGACAGTATTGTACCACGCTGCAGTCTTTATAAAACATGTAGCCTAGAATACACACTGATCTAAACCAAAGATTAACACAATTGTGAACCAACTGTTCTAAGAACTTCCTTGTCGAAAGTCTTAGGAAAATGGGGCAGAATATTCAAAGCTCCCATAAACAATGGAAATTTCCTTTAGTGTTTCACTGAACGTCTGGCCTCCAACCCATTCAGATTTTCAGCTAGGATACATGATCAAATAAATACCACAGAAAAACACCACGATTCTGAGCATTCTAACCAGTGGCCAGGGTGTCAGGGATTCAGACTCCCTGCCCGTCATCCTGATGAAGCAGCAGCTGTCGCCAGGGCACAGGGCCGACACAGAGCACGGGCTTGCAGCTGCAGGCTGGCCCACGCACAGCCCGTCAGGAGGCCACGCTCACACTCAGCTCCTCTTCTCTGGCGAATGAAGCAAACACCTTATGCAGGGGCTCTGTGCGGAACAAAGCCTCGTGGGCTGCCCGCTGCTCTTCCCGCAAAGCGGACAGCGCTTCTGTCCCTAAAAGAGAGATTCTGTTCATCATAGTGCAGCGGGAGGGGCAGCACCTGGACCCTCACTCACACCACCTTTTCTTCTCTAGAGTGAAGGGAGGCTGTCCCTTATGGCATCAATGTAATTTTGAGACCAGAGATTTAACACAGCCTCTACCCAGAGAAACCTGGTCCTAAAAACATTTCACCCAATTTTTCGTAATTGTCAATGTCATATGACACATTTAATTTAAAAAGTTCACACACACAAAAATGTTCTCTTGGCCAGCCCTGAAAAATTCCCATTTGGAAAACAGATTCTAGCGAGCTGTGAGTTTTCTGATGTGCATTGTCTGTTTGGCTGGATGGCAGAATAAGCCTTCGGGTCCATCGTAACTCAGCCTGTAACTCAGCCTGAGCTGTCCTCCTCCACCAGGCGATGGCCCATAAAAATAAATCTAAACTGAAAGAACGCGGCAGAGGCAGGGGACTAGGGCTCTTTACCTTTTACAAACAGGAAAGGAAACATTGGCAGAAACAAAGGAACCTTTGTATGTTAATGAGTAAATTTATGGTCTATACCCAGCAGAAAATGTCACAGGGTCCACTGGATAGATTCCATCTACCTGCTTCGCTCAAGCTGTAGAAAGTGGGCCGTGTTATTGGACCTCTCTGCTAGGCATCCTTCCTCTCACCTTGGGGTGTAACAGTGACGTCAGTTGGGAGAGTCACAGTGAGGTCCTCATACAGCAATCTGGCACGGAACGAGGAGGACTGATCCACTTTGTAGGTGAAGGACAGCAGGTTGCACAGGGAGTTTCTCTGCAAGGGTCCGGTCAAAAAGGCTGCAAACTCCCCCTGAGGGGTGAGAGACAAAGCAAGTGCAGGATGACTGTCCTCTGAAGGCAATCCAAAGTGGCCATGACACTTCAGACATGCCCACCAGAGGCGGCCCGTTAGTTACTATTCAGAGAGAGACGGGGAACGTAAAGGACCAATGTGTGAACAACTAATGCAGGATGGGGCGCGTGATCCTTAAGACAGGAGGGCCACAAGCTGGAGCCCAGGTTGGGCAGTTCAGCAGCACCGTCTCAGAAAGGGCTGGGACTGCAGCTCCGTCTCAGAGCCCCTGGGTTTGACCCCTCGTGCCACCTTAAAGAAATGGAGCCAGACACAGTAATGGGCGCCTGTAATCTCAGCTAAAACCCCATCTCAGAGAGGGTCTGGCTGCTGGGGCAGTAGCTGAGCAAGAGAGTGCTTGCCTAACATGGGAGGCCCTGTGTTCAAGCCCCTCCTCACCAACACAGCAAGAAATTTAAAATACAAAAAGCGAATGTGTCCCTCCTCTCCTGAGTCTGCCGTGGGCCTACAGAAAGAAGTGTAACAAGACCCTAGATAAATACCTGCAGCCGATCTGCCTGGTACTTTCTCCCAGAGTAAGCATTTAGGGCCTCGCACAGACTGAACAGGAAGTGCTGAAGGTCAGTCTGCAGGTATTTTGCAGCTATCTTTTCTAGCGGGATGAAGACTGGAATGGAGTGGTGGTGAATCCGGAGTGGCTTCTCTATGACAAGGTCCACAAAGTAGGAATCCAGGAGGTTCCCCTCAAAAGCAGTGCTGATGCAGACACACACCCCGCGGCTGGTCAGTTTTCCACTGAGCCCTGAGGCAAAGAGCGAGACGATACCTCTCAGGTGCCAGGCACGGGCACCCGACTCACCCACGCACCCCGGCAGCCCATGCAGGGCCTGGCACACAGACATGAGGCTTCTTCAGTGAGAACAGGGTGCTTCCTCTTGACTTAGGCGCACACTGAGACTGAGCTGCTACAGTCAGGGAAGGGCCGGGGGTGGTGCGCACACCTGTGCCTCAGCAGTGAGGCCGAGGCAGGAGGAGCACTATGAATTTAAGGCCAGCCTGGGCTACATAGTAAACTCAACACCAGCCTAAACCATACAGCAAGGCCCTACCTGGCATCCTTTGCAAAAAAAAACAAAAACAAACGGAAGGATAGTAGGAAAGGACACCCTACATACCAAGTTATTACAGAAAAAAACTGTGACAATTTCAGGATGCCCATACTCTTTCTGCCTAAATATCAACTTGTGACAGCCCTAGTTCTTCCCACAGTCCTCCTGTGGCATCAATGGAGTACATTCCTATGTATCCTGAAACAGGGATGTGAGGAGTCCATTCCCAGTAACACAACGCAGGCCGAGGGCGAGGGGAGTTCTAGCGGAGTCCAGCACACGCCGAGTTGCTAAAAGGAACGGTGTAAGCCACCCACAAGCGGATTGCGGCACAGAGTGGCCAAACTTCAGGGGACGGCTACAAACCGCGTGCCAGTACTGTATCATGTGGGTAGGGGTGCAAAAGAAATTCCTAGGAAGTCAGTCCGGTCTAGCCACTGTACCTCACTAAAGACAGAGTCCCGGGATGAGTCGGCTGGGAGAATCACCGTACCTGTAAAGCGATACGCCTGCAGGATGGCTTTCACGCTTTCCCGTTTCCTTTCCAAAGCTTCTTGCTCTCTGGTCTCCACTGTTTGGTCACATTCTGTACTGGCCAAAGAAGCTTTCTCCTGCAAGACATGCAGCCAAAGTGGGCACACAGCGGTACACCCCAAAGTCCCTGGCCTCATCTGACTGGACAGGAGCAAAATGTAGAGTGTTTTCTACAAAGTACCAGAAATGAGTTTATGCTCACCCAGCTGGTGTGGGGAACTCACAGCAGAGCGGTCTGTGGGTCATGCACCACAGAGTAGAAGCCACCAGCTGAACCAGGAGGGTTCGGGGAGGAACGCAGAGAGGATCTAAGGAGGAAGGAGAAACTTGAGGGTGAGCACAGGGTATGCCCAACAGATGCCTATGCAGAGGCGAAGCTGGGAAAGCTGGCCGGGTCAGACCATACAGGCCTCTGGACCCGCTTCCAGCTCCGGCCCTGCAGCGGGTGTCAGGCTGACCTTCCCCCGGGAGCAATTTGCAAGCTGGGTAAAATGCCAAAAATAGGCCAGCAAGCAGAAGATGGCCTGAGTGTTAGGGAACAGCCTGCCGGCTAGGCCTGACAAGGAAAGCTAAGTCCTCTGGCGTACGCTGGCTCCCCTGCTGCTTCCCTAGTCCCTGATGATCCGTCATCTCAAGACGCCACGTGGGACGTAGCCTATACATCGCCGCAGTTTCACCGTCTAGGAAAACAAAAGTGAGACTGATGCTACCCAATCAGTCTTTCATGGAATAAAACCCACACGAAAGGGACCCAACCTGCAAGGCTGGCTCTCTAGGCAGTTGCTAATTCCTAAATTGAACGTGTGTGAACCTACAAAAAAACCTCCTAAGAGTGACACTGTGAATAAGCAGAAATTTTGGCAGACAAACAGAGCAGGAAGAGCAGCTTTAACAGACCTGTCCCTAACACACTTTCACACCTTTGAGAGCTACACCTAGAGAAGGGCCACACCTTTGGAGAAGTGCAGATAGGAACCAGACCACCGCAGCTGGACCAAGACGATATGCTACATGCCTGCAGAGACACTAAAGCCCCTTCGAAGGAATTAATACCACTCTCAAAGCCCGTATATTTTTCCATACATGATATTCCCTGAAAAATACCAGGCATACTAAAAAAGAGAAAGGATGACTGAAAATCATGAGGAAAAGATGGATTCAAGAAAATGACCTATCTGAATTAGGTAAACTCTAGCTGAACTCTGTGAAGCAAATGCAAATTCTAGAATCACAAAACATAGCAATGATGAGAAAGAAAAAAGTCAGCGCCTCCCGAGAATCCACCATGCTGGGCTGGGAGGAGCCAGGCAGGAAGCCACCCAGCCGGCCTTTCTGGAGAGCCCTGCAAGCCACGCGGGTTCAGGGAGAGGAATTCAGCGCACGCTAGGGCTGAGAGTCAACCCTGAACACCACCACCACCCCAGCAACCAGCTGGTTTGGAGGACAGGCCGAGTTGACAGCAACTGAGGAACAAAAAGCAACTGAATGCTTATATGGTTTGGTTGATTTTGCAGGCCTGGGGCCAGCGGTCTAGGCATCTATCGGGAGGATGCAATACAGTGTGCAATACAGCAAATATGGGGGATTTCCTTTCATCTATCTTTGAAGTTCAATGTTGTTCTGTTTTGTTTTGTTCCGATTGTTTTGCTTTACTCAATGTTCTATTTGGTTTTATTCTGTTTTGTTTTGATCTGATTTTGCTACACCTGACAGAATGGACAACTAATGTGAAGATGACAATATATATTATGGTAGCTATTGTTTTCCTAGTATCCTGCTTTGAAGTTCTGTACCAAATATGCTGCTTTGTTTTGGTTGGCTTTATTCTGTTTTGTTGGATTTGATTATCTTTAAAATACAATTAAAAATTTTAAGAATACAAAAAACCCACATTTTATGAAAATTACACATTTAACAGATGTAGTAGGGTGGCACACACAGGTGGCACACAACTGTAATCCTGCTAGCTACTTGGGATCCTGAGGGAGAAGGATTGCCAAATTCAAGGCCAGAGGGGCAACTCGGCAAAACCTTGTATCAAAAAAAAAAAAAAAAAAAAAAAAAAAAAAAAAGTACAGAAAGAACTAAATGGTAGGAAATAGGAACAAAAAGAACTTCAATTTATAAATCTATACTCAGCATAAAAATAAAAAACAGTGAGAGATGTTTTCCAACAGACAAAAACAGAAAATTTACTGCAAAGAGTCTCACATACTTAAAGAAGTTCCTAAAGGAGCTACTTGAAGAAAAATATCCTATGCAGAAATGTAGGAATAGCACTGAAAAAGGTGTGTGCCTGTAAACTCGGAAAGAATACTGATTGTATAAAACAGTGACAGGTACATCAGATCCAAATAATTACATTAAATATTCATGGATGAAACACTCCAATGACTCTCAGGCTGGAGTAAGAATAATTATACGCTACTTGCAAGAGGAATACCTTAAACATAAGGGCACTGAAAGACTGCAACAGAAAACAGTAGAATTTACAATGCAAAGCCAAAAACACCCGTGGGGTGGAGATGTAGCTCCATGACCCAGAGTTTGCCTAGCACGTGTGGGAGCCTGTGTTCACTCTCGCCCCAGTCTCTGCTGTGCTGGTCAGGCATGGTGGCACACATTTGTAATTCCAGCACTTGGAAGGGCGAACTAGGGAGGTGCCAGGGGTTAAAAGCCAGCCTGGACTACGAAGAGTGTTCAAGGCCAACCTGAACTACACAAGGAGACCCTGTCTCCAATAACGAAAAAAAAGTTGGGCTGGGGATGTGGAGCACTTGCCTGGCACCCCCAGAGGCCTAGACTCAACTCTCACCACCACACAGAAAAGAAGAAAGTGAAATTTATTTTCATTTTACCAGATAGACTAAAGGCAAGAAGTTTAACTAAAAATAACAAGTGTTTTATAATAAACAGGTTAACAACTAGAAGACATAGTAATCCTTCACTGCAACCAATACTGCATATACTGAAAACCACAATGAAAGTAAAAACAGTATCATAGAAATTTAACAAAAGAATAGATTATTAAAAGCTGTTAGGGAAAAGAAACAAATCGCCTATAAGGGAAAGCCCATCAGAATCACAGCTGACTTCTCAACACAAATCCTCAAGTCAAGGAGAATCTGGAGTAAAGTATTTCAAGCTATCAAGGAAAATAATCTCCAGCCCGGATTGATATACACCGAAAATTCACCTTTCGAAATTGATGGAGAAGATACTTCCATGACAAAGAACACCTGAGGAAACTCATGAACAACAAACCAGCATTCCAAATAGAATGAAGGTCATTCCAGAAAGAGATAACAGGCTGCCAGCAGGAATCCACCAGGCAAGGAAAAAAAGCAGGGGAGTCAGTGTCAGGAAAGTAACATGACAAGGATAAGTCAAATAACAGTTACACTATCAATGTTAATGGTCTCAATTCACCAATCAAAAGGCACAGACTGGCAGAATGAATCAAGAAGCAAGACTCAACAACATGCTGCATACAAGAAACATTTAATTCGAAAAGGAATTCATAGACTGAAAGTTAGAGGGTGGAAACAATGCTCCATGTGACAGGAACCCGGAAAAAAAGCAAGGATGGCTATTCTATTTGCAAACAATGTGAATTTCAAGCCAAGACTGATTAAGAAAAACCAAGACGGTCACTATATTCTTATAAAGGGAACAATTCAAGAGGAAGGGATAATCATATATGCAACAAATACCAGTATACCCATGTATATAAAACAAATATTAACGGACACAAAAAATCAAGTACCAACTGATTGTATTGGGGGACCTCAATATCCTAGATCACAAACAGACCAACTAGACCAAAAAAAAAAAAAATCAACAATATTAGAACTGAACCAAACTTTTGAACAGTGGTAGATGTCAACGGTGTTCTACCTCACAACATCAGAATACACATTCTTCTTAGCTGCACATGGGATGTTATCCAAAATAGACTGTATACTAGGTCACAGAACATGCTTAGGTAAATGCAAAGGAAATGAAATTTTCCCGTGCACATTATATAACTACACTGCAATGAAATTGGACAAAATGACAAAAGAAGCCTTAAGAACTTCAAAAATACAAGGAAATAACACCTTCCTGAACAACCAATGGGTCACATGTGACATTAAAGAAGAAATTAAAGTTTCTACAATTAAACAATAATAACAATACAACATACTGGAACTTATGGGACACAATGAAAGCGGTCCTATGAGGGAAATTTACAGTGGTGAATCAGGAAAATGGAGCAACTAAGTAAAGAACTTAATTGGGGTTTTTTTTTTTTTGGTACCAGGGATTGAACTCATGACTGTGCGCCTGCAAGGCAGGTGCTTATGCCACTGAGCTAAATCCTCAGCCCCAGAACTTAATATTGAATCTCAAATTTCTAGAAAAGAAAAGCAGGCCAAGCCCAAAGCTCACATAAGGGAGGAAATGATAAAGATCAAAGAAATTAGTACACTGAAGACTAAGAAAACAATACAAAGAATCAATAAATCAAAGAATTAGTTCTTTGCAAGATTAAATAAAATTAACAAACCTTTAGCTAACCTTATCAAAAAAAAGAGAAAGATTCAAATCCACCTACTTAGGAATAAAAAGGGTAAAATCACAACAGACCCTGCAGAAAACCATCAGGTCATCTATACCTACTTTGAGAACTTGAATTCTGTAAGATGGAAAATGCAGATAAAATGGACAGATTCCTGCGTACAGATGAATTACCAAAGCTGGATCAAGAAGCTATAAAAATCCTAAATAAATCAGTATCAGTGAAATAAAAAATGTAATTAACAACCTAAAAAAGGAAAGGCACAGGCCCTGACAGATTCACTGCTGACTTCTATAAGAAATTTAGAGAAGACTAAATACTACTAATCTCAAACTCTTTCATGAAACTGAAAGTGAAGTAATACTCTCAAATTCATTCCTGAAAGCAATCATTACTCTGATACAAACCCAGAGAGGAACTCAATTAGGAAAGAGAACTACAGACCAATATCTCCAGTGAGCATAGATACAAAAATCCTCAGTAAGATACTGGCAAACAGAATGCCCCAAATCATCACGAATCATCCCAGGGATGCATGAATGGTTCAACGTATGTAAATCAGTAAATATAATACACCACATTAACAGAGCTAAGGATAAAAATCATGCAATCATCTCAACAGATGTAGAAAAAGCTTTTGACAAAGTCCAGTACCCATTCATGACAGAATCCTACAGAAAACTGGAATAGATAGCTGGTCTTTGTCTCAGTCTGACAAAAGCCACTTAGGACAGACCAACAGCCAATGGAATACTAAATAGACAAAAATGGAAAGCTTTCACTCTAAAATCAGGAACAAGCCAAGGGTGTCCTGTCTCCACAGTTCCGGAAATTTTAATTACAGCAATTAGATAAAGAAAGAAAAGGAGTAACGACAGGAAAGGAAGAAATTAAATTATCATTATTTGCGGATGACATGATACTCTACATAGAAGACCCCAAAACCCCACTAAAAGATTCTAGACTTAACAAACAAATTCAGTAGCGTAGCCGGATACAAAGCCAACACTCGAAAAGTAATCAAGTTCCTGTTCCAAGTCAAAAACTCATTGAAAGAGAAATTAGGGAAACAACACCTTTCACAACAGCTTCCCCAAAATGAAATACTCTAAAGGTCCCCCGAATGAGGGTAACATCTGTTGTAAAAACACTGCACTATTTTTTCCTTTTCTTGAAGTGTGTATGCATTTGTTTTGGTGGACTCTATAAATTTCAAGTCCCGCCAGGCACGTGGTGGCTCACGTCTGTAATCCCAGCACTCAAGAGGCTGAGGCAGGAGGATCATTGTGAGTTCAAGACCAGCCTGGGCTACAAAGTGAGCTCAAGGCCAGCCTGAACTGCACGGTGAGACCCTGTCTCAAAAAGACCAAAAGGGGAAAAAAATTTCAAGTCCTCTATGCATACAATCATGTATGTCACTGAGAAAAAGTAAGTAAGTAAAACAGCGGAGGACATGCCATGCACACAAAGGGGCAATGCAGTACTGCAGCCGTACCTGTTCTCCCTGACTCACCTACAGACTCAGGACCACGCTAAGGAAACACCAGAGGGGTTTTTTGAAAAGTGATAGCCGACCCTCAAATTCATGGCAAATTCATAGGGCCAAGAATTGCCAAGATAATTCTCAAGAGGAAGAAATGCATATATGTACTGCAGGATAAACCTTCCACTATAGCAGACAGAAAACAGGACAGTAGAACAGAACAGAATCCACAGACAGGCTCATTACAATGTTCGGGGAAAAAGTAATCTTTTTAAGGGCTGGACGAATCAGTATCTATATAGGAAAAAAACAAAAAGCAAACCAGGAAGCAGGACCTCCCCAGGCGTGGGCTTGCAGGCCAGCAATACCAGGACTCAGGAGGCTGAGGCAGGAGAGTCACCCTTACTTCAAGGTCAGCCTGGACTTTATAGTCCTGGCCATCCTGAAATGAACTACACTAACAAAAATATCCTCTCACGTACTTCATTTTTTTCTTTTTGGTACTGGGCATCGAAATCATAAGCCTTGAACTCACTGTGTAGTCCAGCCTTGCCTTGACTCAGTGATCCTCCTGCCTCCTCCTCCCTCAGCCTCCCAAGTACTGGGGTTACAGGTGTGTGTAAACACACCTCACCAGCCACTTACATACCGTATTTATTTAGAGACAGGGTCTCTTTATGCAGTTCAGGCTGGCCTTGAGCTCACTCTGTAGCCCAGGCTGGTCTCAAACTTGCAACGATCCTCCTGCCTCAGCCTCCCAAGTGCTGGGATTGCAGGTATGCACCACCACATCCAGCTATTCTCTCATAGACTTTATTTTCTTTTTTTTGGTAAGGGGATGGAACTCAAGACTTTGCATTTGCCAAGCAGGCACTTACACAGCTGAGCTAAACCCCTGGCCCTTCTCATGTAATTTAAACCATCACCTGATTACTTACAATACTGAATACAAGTATTCTAAAATGTTATATAAATACTTAACACTGTATTTTTTAAGGGAACAATGGCAAGAGAAAGTATGTACATGTTCAGTACAGATTGTCAGGGACCACTATGAAGCGGCTCTGAGCAGGATTTAAAATTAACTGATTGGCTTTCTATGTTTATCTGTGAGTCTGTCCTAGGCTCGGCCCCTTGCCAGGTGACGGGAGCGATTCATAGTAAGTGAACCTTCGTGAATCACTGGTTCTGGCTGGGGCCTGTAGTGGCCGAGAGGCCAGAGATACCTCAAAGGGCAAGATAAGGCCAGAGCTGAAGACACCCCGGCTCAGACATCAATGAAGTAGCTCGAGACTGCAGCTGCAGGAATGACTCCTGCAGTCTCACTCCTGCGTGTCGTCATAAGACAGTTCTCCTGAATCGACTTGATTCATGACTCAGAGACGTCCTTAAAGTAACTCCCAAGGTCCTGCTCATTGCCTGCACATTCCCCACCCCTTGTTGTTGGACCTAATAAAAAATGGGCGGTCCAGAGAAGTCTCTGTCTCAGCCCTCAGAGTCTCAAGCTCAGCTAAAGGATTCTGACACTCCAGGAGCCCTAAAATCATACCACTTGTCTCATTTTATTTAACCCTTCACTGCACACTCATTTGGGAGATTGGGGATCTAGGTCAGGACCCAATAACAGATGTCACTTTTCTTGAATATTTCTGATGCAGGGGTGGCTGAAGCCATGGACGCGGAAGGCTGAGTGTACTTCACGTCGCTGCTTAGTCAAATGCAAATTAAATCCACAGTGCGTATCCTTACCTTCCCACCAGCATGACAAAGTTTTAAAACTGATAATCTGAAGCATCCATAAAGATGTCAAACAACAGAAATCTTGCACACTGTTGCTGGGATGTAAAACTGGCACAAACACAGAACTCTCCCAGCGGACACCTAGCAGAAGAGTGTGTCTGCCTTAAAAGACGGGAAGGAGAATGTTCATAGAAACAAGAGTCGTAACTATCCCAAGTAGAACCACCCAGCTAGCTCACGTGGCATCCACAGCGCAGTGGGTGAACGTCACACACGGAGAATTACTAGACAGCAAAGACTCATCACTGTGTGCAATGGTACGGATGGATGCCAGACGTAAGTCTGTATTTTTTCTTTATACAAAGTTCAAAAACAAGTGAAGTCAATCTTGCTGCCAGGAATCAGAATAATGGTTACCTTTAAGTGACCAGAAGAAGGCAAAGGACAGAACTGTGGTCAGGCAATAGTCTATACTTTTGTTTTTGAGACAGGGTCCTATTATGTACTCTAGGCTGGCCTCAGATTCATGGCTATCCTCCTGCCTCAGCCTCCCAAGTACTAGGGTTACAGGTGTGAGCCATCAGACCTGGCTCATGGTGGTTTTTTTCCTTTTCTATACTTTTATCTGTGTGGTAAATACCTAGCTGTGTTCACTTAGAAAAAAAAAAAATCCCCAGATTTGTGCACTTTATATATAAAACAGTAAAGTAAGCTGAAGAGTGGTTAGGAAGAAAGTGGGGGAAAAGGAGGGAGAGGAAAAAAGGCAGGAGAAAGAGTAACAGTATTTGGGCTGAGACGTAATGCATGCAAGAATTACTGGAAAAGCAGAAATGCTAGAGGACCAAAAACCACCTAGATTACTTCAACAGTCCTGGCATCCAGGCCTCGTAAACATGTGCCCTGCACATGTGGGTGATGCCGAGCTCCGGTGATGGAGGCAGCACACACGACAACAAAGAAAACTGACAGTCCTGCTGACTGGACCCGAATAGTCGGGAAACAGAAGAGGGAGGCTCAGCGTGTCCCCAAGACAAGAACGCGCGTGACTCAAGTGTGCTGTGGCTGCCGGAAGGGACTCAGGCACGCGCGGAGGCAGGCTGGGGACTGCTACCAAGTCCTCCCTGGCCCAGCACTAGCACCGGACTATTACTAGTGGGTACTTAGCTCCAACTCTCCAGGTCTGATCATGTGCAGAATTAAGGACTGCAATTAATCCAGTAAGATCAAAAGTAACACACATGGGGCTGGGCATTCAGCTCAGCGGCATAAACGCCTGCCTTGCAAGCAGGCAGTCGTGAGTTCGATCCCCGATATACAAATTTGCCAATTCCCAGGTCATGATAGCTCTTCACAGCCAGGGGAGCCCGCAGCACCCCATCCTACTCACTGTGGTTTGCTGCCGCCGTTTCACTTCAGCCTTCAGCTTGTCTCGCAAGCGTCTCAGTTCACGAATCTTGGTTCCAAGAGCACTTTCCCTTGCCTGAACTCTCCATGGTTTTTCAGACCGTTTACAGGCTCTGTTCATCTGAGCCTCTAGTCCTTCCAAGTGAGCTAAAACCCCTGAGGAAACGTAAAAAGGGAACTTCACAAAAAGCACGAGAGAGCTCAAGGCCAGGCTGAACTGCAGAGGGAGACCCTGTCTCATAAAACAAAACAAAAACAAGGAACACTTCAAGAAAGAACAGGGGTCTTTATCCAGATTTTTGTGGCCAGCTGAACTGTTGTCTAATTGTTAAGATACAGGCCATAATTATAAAACCAGAGGAGCTGACAACCAAAATTAAACAGTCAAAACCAAAATCAAAGATGATCAATCTTTTATGTAAACACTGACATAAGAACAGTCATTGATTTTTTTTTGTTTTCTTTCAGGTAAGGTCTTGGTATGTAGTTCAGGCTGGCCTCAAACTTCAGTGATGCTCCTGTCTCAGCCTCCTGAGTGCCACTCGGCCAGGATAGTTTTCAAAGCGAACAAGAGAAAGAATCCGAATTGTCTATCACATACTTTCTAGGCAGGACACTTTGACTGGGCCTCCAGTGCATCACAAAAGCACATCGCTAGTGTGCAAAGAATGATATCAGACTGGAGTCTCCATTACAAAAATTCTATTACTTCTATCAGAGATTTCAAAAGTATCAAAAAAAAAAAAAAAGTGAGGGGCCAGGGATGTAGCTCAGCAGCACAGTGCCAGCCTGGCAAGCATGATGTCCCTGAGTTCAACTCCTGGTACCAGAAACAACGAAAAAAATTGAGGTACACAGACTACGAAAACTACCTGATTTCATTTTTCTCATCATTACTCAGATTGCTCTCTCTTCTTCCTCAGGGCCCTCCGACTATGCGCTAACTCTCGTCTCTGCTCTATCCAGTTCCTTGCAGCCGAATCCTTCCCTCTATAACACAACACCATAAAAAGAACGCTGAAATTACTAAGCAGAGGGCTAAAATCTGTAGGGGTAACACCTATTGTAGGTTAACACCTAACTGTTGTTTGGGAGAGATAATCAGGGGCTACAGAATAATCCTTTGGCTGGTTGAGGTCTTAACTCCCACCTCCTCATTTACTTCGAAAATAAAATTAGGTCACAGCAGAGAGAACGGATTACTCCTGACAGCAGCATAATTTACAATTTTTGGGTGATTTTGTTGTTGTTTTGAGGTACTGGGGAATTGAACCCAGGATCTTCACACTAAAACACGCCTCCAGCCCTTCCTAAATTTTGAGACTAGGTCTCAGTAAATCGCTAAATTGCCTGAACTTGCAATCCTCCTACCTCAGCCTCCCACAGAGGTGGGACTGCAGGATTGTACCGTGCCCGGATTTTGCTCTTTTGAGATGGGACCCTAACACTGTTGCCCAGGCTGGTCTCAAACTCGAGATTCTCCCACGTGCGCTTCCTGAACAGCTGGGATTACAGTCATCACGCCCAGCTGGGACATTTCTTAATCCACAAAGCACCACACTTAGTTTTCGTTTTGAAGTTACAGCAAGCTCTAGTCCACACCCGGGGTCACCTCTTTTGGTCTCGTCGTCCGGACACCCAGTTTTCGCTGCCTCCATCTCCTCCTTGGGCCCGGGCCCCGCTAGGAAGCCCTCCAGGAACGTCTATTAGGAACCTAAGTGTCCTTCGCGGTAAAAGAAAAACGGTAACAGTCACAGCCGCTCCCTTCTAGACAAACCCAGACGGACCGCGGCACGCCCCCGGGCCCGGGCAATCCGAGCGTCCCTGCGGGCACTTCCCTCGCGGGCCTGCAGCCCCCGGGTCAGCGTCGGCCGCGTCCCCGCCTCCCTACAGGCCAGCCGGATTCCCTGCACACGGAAGGTGCTTCAAGGCCTCTCAGGTCTCCACCCTACTCACAGGCCCGTCCTGGGTCTGCCCTTTCCCTACCTCTTTTCCTCCTTGTAAAGGCCACAGACGATTTTCCCGCCGTCTAAACCTTCAAAAAGCAATCCAATTCGTCCCAGAATGCTCTGCGCTCCTGCCGTACAAAAATATGGCGCCCTCCAGGGCGCCCTCCCTGATCCCAGTATGCACCGCGCAGTAGACTCAGCCGTTCGAGTGATCAGGAAGATGGCGGCCCCCGGAGAGGAGCCGCAGATATTGGTACAGTACTTGGTGTTACGAAAAGATCTATCACAGGCTCCGTTCTCCTGGCCGGCAGGCGCACTGGTAGCACAGGCATGTCACGCAGCCACTGCGGCTTTGCATCTTCACCGCAACCACCCGCATACCGAGGCTTATCTCCGGGAACTGGGGCGCATGCGCAAAGTGGTCCTCGAGGTGAGACGCTCAGGGTGAGGGACGCCGAGGGTGTGGAGACCAGAAGTGGGCGTAGTGCTGGGTCGGAACTTGTCTTTTCTGTGTGTGCTGAGGTGGGAGGATTTGTAACTTCAGATTTTGGAAAGGGCTCTGGGACTTGAGCTGAGACCTAGGAAGCATTCTCTTACGCAGGGCATGAGTGTGTGAAGTGTGGAGGTCAGACCTGTTACAAAGGCCCACCGGAACCTGGTGGCCCCTGCGTCCCCCTTAGGATGCCCCGGAGGACGTAAGCGGTGGATCGCGACCGCCTTTCTACCGGTGCACCCGCCGGCCTTCAAACTGGCGCCGAGGCACTGCCTCCCGGGTGACCAGCTCAGAAGGCAGCGGAAAATGAACTGATGCGTTTACTTGGACGTGACGCTACATTGTTCGAAAATAAATATTTAAATCCCTGAAGTAAAAAATACCAGACACCAACGGTGTACATTGACATATTTTTTAAAAATAGCCGTAAGATTCTTTTTGCATTTGGCCAAACAGATCTTTATCTTTAACTCTCTGGATTCTACTGCTAGAAATAGTAGGAGAATAAGCAGATGCAACCATTGAGTTTTGCATAAAGATATTCATAGGATTACTTTGTACTGATTTTTTAAATAAAAGGTGGAAGCTGGGCGTGTTGGCGCATTCCTGTGATCTCAGCACTTGGAAGCAGAGACTTGCATGACAGCAGAAACCCGGTCTCCAAAAAAAGCATAAATACTGAATTTTCAGTACTACAGATTGACTTAATCTGTGCCCTTTTGGCATATCTTTTTGGTTGTTGTTGAGGAGGAGGAGTGCTGGGGCTCCAACGGGACCTTGGCCATGCTAGGTGAGCACTCTTGCCACTCACTGAGCTACAACCCCCAGCTCTTATGGTGTATTAGTCTGTGAGGCTGTGTGTGTGTGTTTTGGGGTTCTGTGTGTTTGTTTGTTTTAAGACAGAGCAGTTGAGGCTGGCCTTGGGCTCACTTTCAGGCCAGACTGGTCTCGGATTTGCAAGGCTCGTCCGGCCTCAGCCTCCTAGTGCTGGGATTACAGGAGTGCACCGCCATGCCCAGCTCTGCAGTCATGTTTTTTGAAGCATAGTAGCGTAGAAGAGTGCTCATGATATGATGCTATTGAGCTATATTCTTTAACAATGATTTAAATTTTGAAAGGGAAAGCTAAAAAATACATCTAGGAATTAACTAGTGGGTAGTGGAATTTGAGTTATGCTTCTCTATATTTTTAAATGTTCCACATCAAGTACATATGTTATAATTAAAAAATGCTTTAAAAATAAATCACTGGCTGGGCATGGTGACTCACACCTGTAATCCCAGCACTCAGGTGCATCACCATAAGTTTAAGGCCAGCCTGGACTACATAGTGAGACCCTGTTTCAAAAACAAAACAAATCACTGCCTTGCAGTGGAGGGGTGGGGTAATTCTTTTATGGCTGCTTGGCAGAAATAGACTAATATAAGAGAAATATGCTGGGGACGAGTGCAGCATCCACCGGTAATCTGTGGGAAGTGGCCTGAGAGTCTGGGAGTGGGCAGAGAGGAAGCAGATAGCTTTTTGTTTAGAATGTTAGACACACTGCCCCTTCGTGTAGCTTATCGCAGATCACACAGGCACTACACTAGGTGGCCTGATGTCCAGCAGTGGAATCCCAGGGCTCACTCACCCGCTGCACTGTACTATGCTCCACTCTGTGCAGCGGGAGGGGTGTCAGTGAGTCCCACGGCAGGGTTTAGGACACAGGGCAATCCCAGAATCTTCTGACTTCACGAGAGAAGCCTTCAGTTACCTTCAGAGACAGGAAATGTATCCTATGCAAAATAACGCACTAAGGGCCGTTATTTCCTAAGTCACAAGTTCAGTGCTTTCTGCGATAGAATTCAGCATGCGCTCCTAGCCATGTTTGATAAGGATGACCCAGAAATAATTTTTTTTTCTCTCTTTTTGAGACGAGGTCTCGCTGTGCAGTTCAGGCTGGCCTTGAGCTCACTCTGGAGCCCACAGCTGATTGCCAACTTGCAGCCATCCTCCTGCTTCAGCCTCCTGAGTGCTGGGGTTGCGGGCATGTGCCACTTCATCCAACTGCCAGAAATAATTTTAAAAGGATGATAGAGAAAAGTTTATTCTCCCTTTCGTAAGAAAATGAGAGTCTTCCAGAGAAGGAAACCTTTCTGGGTTTGAGCCTGGTGAATGAGAGGGAATGCAGAAGGTGCATGTTATTTTAGAAATCCTTCTAATTGCTCTTAAAATCAGAGATGACTGATGGATTAGGAGGGCTGTTGAGGTGCCAGCTGTAAGAGAACTAAAAATGTCTCAGGCATCATTGCTGACATCTCAACGGGGAAAAGAAAAATGTCCACTTTACAGACAGGACCGCTGAGCCTCTTCCCCACCCCTGTTCTCCCCAATCCTCCCAAGCCACAAAGCAAAAGACTGAATGGCAAACCAGGGAATGAGATTGTTGCTCTGCAGTGTCTTTGGTGAATCTGTAACAAAAGCGCCACCCACACCCTCCCTCTTCATCCCCTCCCCTCCCCTCCCCCTCCCCATTTAATCTCTGCTCTGTTCTGCTCTGTCAGGCCCCTGATGAGACCACCCTAAAGGAGCTGGCTGAGACCCTGCAGCAGAAGAGCATTGACCACATGCTGTGGCTTGAGCAGCCAGAGAACATCGCCACTTGCCTTGCGCTCCGGCCGTACCCCAAGGAAGAAGTGAGCCCGTATCTGAAAAGGTTCCGGTTGTTCAGATGACAGTCTGATGGCTGTCACATGACCGGAGACCCTGGGCTGCGTGTCCCTTTCAGTGGCAGCCGCTCTTCCATTCCAGTTTTGATGGCTTCTTGAGAGTCCAACTCAAATGATCAAATTAAAGTCATGAATAAGTACTTACTATTAATAGCATTAAGTTCAAGCGAGGGAGTGGGTGAACAGCAATGTTATCTGTGGTCATTGCCAAATGGAAGATTTTGATTCCAGCATGGAATTCCACTTTTCTTTTTTGTTAAAAATAATGGAATCCTGATTAGCCTGGTTTAAAACTTTGCCTTTGAGTTCTGTATTTCTTTTCGTGTCTCAGTATCATAGTTCATGGGGTCTTAGACACCATCACCTTTAAGATAAGGCATTATCTTATATATCAGGGAGGAGTGGTGGTTACAGGAAGATGTACAATTGACCATGTGTTTCATCGTCAAAGATGTTTACAAATTGTATGTATATAGGTACTTTCTGGAATGAAATTTGTAAAGGGCAGCTAATTTGTTGTTATTGTTATTTTGTTTATTTGTAATGTGCTTCTGCCCTGTACCAGGCTAGCACTTTGCTTCTCAAAGCAGCCCTCTGCAGGGCTTCCCTACAGCATGTTCCGGAGCCAGTGCCCAGCTGCCCTGGCACCAGCTGTCTGTCAGTGGGCGCTGTGGGCGCCCTGCATGCTGTGGTTACTCCTTGCCCGTGGGCAGTGCCAGGCCTCCTCACCTTAGCCCTCCTCATCTATGTTTCCTGCTGTTGAGTCGCATTATCTATTCCCTTATCCAAATGTGATGTTTCACCAAGGTCTCCCTCCCTGCTGTCCTCCAGGCTCTGGCCCGAGAACAGAACGTGGCTGTTCCTCCTCCCTGTTTCCTGCCTCTGGAATTTACTTAAATGATTTCCAGTTCTAGTGCCATCATCTTTGTAAAGTTTTACCCTAGGCGTGGTGACACACGCCTGTAATCACAGCACCAAGAAAAGTCTGAGGCAGGAGGGTGCCTGGGCATTCACAGTCAGCCTGGGCTACAGGGTGGGTTCAAGGCCAGCCTGAACTGCGTAGTGAGACTCTGTCTCACAAAACAAAAACAAAAGTCCATTTCTTTAAAGTTTTACCCAGTCAAAAATGATTATTCCCCTCCAAATGTGTGTAATACTGCACAATGTAAACTCCCGAAGTACTGGCATATACAGAGAAGAGGTTTATCTTGGCTCAGTTTTGGAGGAGAGCTCACTGTCTCAGGTCTGTGGTGGGGGCTCAGATGGCCAAGGTGGGACCACGTGGAAGCAAAGAGAGCAAGGACGATGCCAGGCTCTTCCTTGAGAAGACCCAAAGACCTGCCATCGCCCTTCAGAGGTCACCGCACGTCCCAGTAAGCCCAAGCTTTTGACAGGTGACATCTGGAAGACACCTTATCCAAGCCATAGCAATGAATAAAACAGTTTCGGTCCTCAACACCTATACATTTAATGGGAGGGCAGGAGAAGTATGTAATTACCTAGAGAAGTATGTAACCTTTAATGCCAGTCTGCCAAGCAACTAGACACCAGGAGTTCCTTGGAAAAGACCAGCTGGGTATGGTGGCTCGTACCTGTAATCCCATCACTGAGGAGGCTGAGGCAGGAGGATCCCTGTGAGCTTGAGGCCAGCCTGGGCTACCTAAGCAAGTTCAAGGCTAGTCTCCACTATACAGTGAGATTGTGGTCTATTGAGACAAGAATGGGAGGGAGGTAAAAGAGCCTCAAGAGGTTGGGAGGAGAAGAGAGGAGCCGGTGATGGAACGGATGGTGGAAAGATGAAGGCTGGCTCCGATGGGGAATTTTGTTGGATGCTTGAGCAAGCTGGTGGGTGAGGAGGAGGAGAATGAGAGCTGATGGTTGCTAAATGGACTAACTGATGGAGGAAGCCCAGAGCACGTGACAAGCAGTGGAGTCCAGGCCTCAGGAAGGACTGGACTTGAGAGAGAGGAAAAACTGCTCACGTCTGGAGAAAACGCAAATGGGGAAGATACAGATTCACACGAGTTTAGGAAGGAAGTTTAGGAGGAAGAGGGAGGTTGATGACTGCACCTCATGACTTTGCCTCTATGAACCAAGAGGCATACAGCTCTCCGTAACACTAAATGTGCTTACAGAGCTTGGCATTAGATGGCGTAACAGGGTGGCTGGAGCCCTGCCCTGCTGGACTGCTGGAATCCTGCTCTGGCGCTCATGCTTGGAAGCTCTGTGAATCTGGGCAAAGCGCTTAGCTCCTCTGAGGCCCAGTTTCCTCATCTGAACAGCAGAGCTTTACAGCGGTGCTAGTGAGCTGAATGCACATAAAAATCCTATGGAACAGCACGCAGGCGCTAGAGCCTAAGTGGAGGAAGCTACGTGAAACCCAGCCTCAAGCAGCTCTTAGCCAAAGAACTCAGTTATTTAACCCCCTTTCTGCTGTCTGGGAGCCATTCAAGATTCATCCAGCCCTCCACATCTTTCCTCTCAAGCCCACTATGGAAATGTTCCCCAAAGTACAGCATCTTACGTTGCTCTTGTTATTGTTAGTTCTGAATTCTTCATTAAAACTTAGTGACGAAACCAGAAAAGGTTGAGTGCATTAGCCGGTTCCACCTTGCTGGACACAGTGCCCTCACAAAGCAGGAGAGGTTTACTTTAGCTCACGGTTTTAGGAGATTCATCCATGGTCAGCTGGCTCGAAGGCTGGAGGAGTACTGTGGGAGCATATGGTGAAGCGGAGCTGCTCGGTGCACGGTGACATGGGGACCGCACCAGAGAAGAGCAGGAAGCGATCCTAGGGAGCACACAGGCATGGCTACCTGCCAGCCCACACACAGCCAGCAGTGTCCTGCTCTGATCTGGAGGTATTCCTTAACCCAGAGACGCTAACGTCTGCGTAGTTCGGAGACTGTCACTTGGGCGGAGCCCTAACAGAGATATGAGCACAAACTCACCCAGCGGATTCCTTAGTAGTGTCTACTTAGACTGTTAACGAGACCAGTGGTTTCCAGTGTGTGGTTGGGTCCCTTAGGTCGGCATCACCTAGTACTTATCAGAAATGCCGGTTCTCAGGCCCAGCTGCACACTCACCTGAGTCAGAAATGTGGTGCGAAGGAGCAGCTGGGCCCTTAGGAGCAGCCACTCTAAAGGTAAATGGTAAAATGTGCAGCTGAAGGGAACGTGGTGAGCGTGTAAAGTGAGCTCCTAGAAGGAGTCAACCTGGTGAGCAGGCGTCCGGCTCTAAGCACTGACCCTTCCGGTCACCTGTACATGGCTACAAAACCAGTATATCCTCGAATGCAGCACACCCTGGTAAGTTTCCTATATGCAAAGAAGAGTTTCCAGAAGTGAGCAGCAGGACTAGGACAGTAAACTAGGTCTTCTGTCATTTTTGTTTGTTTTGAGGCAGGATCTTGCTATACCATTAAGGCTGGACTTGAACTTGAAATCCTCCTGCTTCGGTCTCCCCAGGGCAGGGATTACAGCCGTGTGTCACCATGTCAGGCGTTGTCAGTTTAGATTCTTTCCTAGTTGGTTGCTGACTTACTCTGCCCTCATCTAGATGCTGGTTGGAGGGTAGTTTTGTGATAGGAATTTTCACATCCTAACAAACTAACAGGCTGATACCACACTGGGGCAAGCTATGCTTTCCCAGCCCACCACAGAGCTGGACATACGACCACATGTGCTTTAACTTAGTTGGTGGCACCCTGCCGCAGCATCATAGATGGCTTGACACGGGTCAGTTTGATGAAGTCTCACCACACAGTCTGTGTTTGTCCACCTAGAAATTGTTTTTCTAGAATATTTCAAGCACTTTCTACCCAGCAACAGGTAACGGACTGTGGGCAGCCTAACCCAGTGACAATCCACCATGCTCTCAAGCTTCTCTCCTTCCTGCTGGCACCCCAAATCAACAAACCTGGAACTGACTCAGGGCTGGTGATGTGGAACAGATTCCCACCAGCCCGCTGGCGTGATAAACAGTTGCCTTCTGCCTCCGTGGTGTACAGCACCTTCCTTTGGCTTTTGTGCTGGTTCTGCAACAGTTTGGAAGGGGACACAGGTAGCTCCCGCCTGGGAACGCTGTAGCTCCCACTTGACATTTTTAGTTGACAGTTTGGATTCTGAATCAGCCCTCTGTGACTGTGGAGCTGTGTGACTCAATGCCCTAGGGTCCCATTAGCACTGGATGAGCTGACAGGAATGAGTTTCTGAACTTGCAACCTGAGGATCAAGGCCTACGTGCCCGTTTCTCGTGACCCTGGCAGAATGCAGAGGACTTCCCCAGCGGGGCAGGTGAAAGCTGGCTGAGTTAATGTTCAGTGAACGCCAACTTCCCCTCGGTTCAGAGCCCATCTTCTTCCTACCTGCTGGGGAAAAGCTGGCAATAGGGAGCCGTTGTCTCCGAGGCGGGCTGGGAGTGTGGAAAATGGCTAAGAATCGTCACCTGGGGCTACGCTGTCCCCTGGAGTTGAGGCTGCCCTCCAGGTCAAGCTCAGCACAGCCCCAGCTTCTCCTTCTCAAGTTCCAGCCGCGGTGGGATCTGACTGTGGCCTAAGGTTGGATTTCAGCTGTGAAGGTCTCGCAAAGGCAAAGTAAGTGGCACCTAGGTTCTTGATAACCAAGCATCGCTTTCATTTCCAGTCAGTGATGCTCTCACTGAAGTTGATGCTTCCCACTGTCATGTGAAGGGCAAATTCCCTACATTTAACCTATCAAATTTTGATAGATTAACAGCTGGGCATGTGGCACATGCCTGTAATCCCAGCACTTGGGAGGCTGAGACAGAAGGATCTACGTGAGTTCAAGGCCAGCCTGCACTGCATAGCGAGGAAGACTGGCCCGGTGTGGGGTCCGAGGTGTGTGTGCTGGGGAGGAAGGTGGGACAGTGGTGCAGAGGCTCTCAGAAACACGGCACACAACCGACCCACAACGCTGTGCCTGCAGGATGGAAACTAACCTGTGGGAAGCAGGGTGTTTCCATGCATTTGTTTTTCAACAGTGCCTTGCTAGGTAGCCAGGCTGGTCTGAAACTCCTTATGTAGCCCAGGCTTGCCTTAAACCTATGTGATCCGCCTGCCTCAGCCTGCTGAGTGCTGCGATTATAGACCTATGCCACTACACTTGGTTACTGTACTATGTTGTGTGTGTGTGTGTGTGTGTGTGTGTGTGTAGTCCTGGGATTGAATTCAGGCCCTTGCACATGCTAGGCAAGTGCTTTACCTCTGAGCTGGATCCCAGTGTGTTACTTCTCTGTGGTACAAATAGAAAGAGCAGGGCAGGCAACAAGCCCAGAT